CCATGGAGCAGGACTGGATCCAGGAGGCCAAGGCCGAGCCCCAGAAGCAGTTCCAGTCGCTGGCCCAATGGGGACCCGACGAATGCCTCTATTGCGTCTCCGAGGCCTACGCCCGCTTCCGCGAGAAGAACAAGGGCGCGGTGCCGCTCCAAGCAATGGCTGCGAACAAACCAAATGCTCGTGCTCCGGCCGATAGAGCAGGGCGAGCTCAAGGTCGTCACGGGCGTGGAGCCGCGGAGCTACTCCATCGAGCCCGGCCGCAGCATCGAGCAGAGTCTGGCGAGCGAGCGCCTGGAGGGCATGCAGGGGTGGCCCGAGGGCGCGCCGCCCGTGCCCGAGTGGAGCGCCCCCGACGGGAACTGCTTCCTCCACGACGACTTGCCCAAGGACTACGAGCAGGGCGAGAAACCCTGCCTCCTGGAGCTCCGAGAACTGGACCTCGAGCTCGCCGACGAGCAGAAAGACATGCTCAGAACGCCGGAAGAACGGATAATGGGGCTCCAGGTCCCGCGCGCCCTCGAGAAACGGATCAAGCTCAAGCGAGCAGGCAAACGCAAGGGCGGGTGGGCGCCCAAATTCTCGGGCCAGTTCCTGGGCAAGCTGCGGGGCCGGCGGCGGCGGGCGAAAGCCGAGACTGGCGACGCGGCCTCGCTCGAGAACCTGGGCCGAGGCGCGGCCACGGCGAAACTCGCAGGCAGGGCGCCGAAGGCAAAGACGAGCTCCCCCCAGAAGTTCAAAGCCGATGCGCAAGTGGAGAAATAAGCAAAGAAGCGAGCGAATGCCAACATATGTCTATATATACATATATATATATATATGCCTCGAGGCTTGCGAGGACCCCACTGGCACGCGTAACCGCGGAGGGGGTCCGCGAGGGCTGGCGCGGCAGAGTGCAGGGCGTCTGGCGAAGTCCTGGGCGCCGAGGGCGCGCGCTGCCTTCGCGGCCACGAGGTGGAGACCGCGGCGATATTCCAGATCGAGAGAAGCGAGGCTCGGAGGCTCACGAGCACTCGTCCGCTTCGGCCTGCTCCCGGCTGAGGCGGCGGAAGCAAGCAGAAGCTAGCGGAAACGGCGGATACGACGGCGGAGGCGGCGGAATCTGGCGGAAAGCTGTCGACGGAAGCGACGGCGGAACCTTGAAGCCACGAGGCGGAAGCAGGCGGAAGCTAACGAGTGCCTGTGAATCCCTAGCGCCACAGGTCAATATCGAAGAGGACTACAAGTTCCGCGAGCCGCACAAGCTCGACTGGCGCCAGACCAGACTGGCTCGCTGCACCGACCTCGCCAAGGAGTACGCGATCATGAACTGCGAGCAGATCGCCAAGGGCGGCGCCCTAGAGCTGGGCGCAGCGCGCGCGCTGCTGGGCGAGATCGAAGAGCGCGTGGGCGTCCCCGAGACCGTTCTGGTGGTCGAGCCCACGGCGGCCGTCGCATGGGCTCGAGTGGGCCAGGGCGAGGGCGAAACCGCCGCCCAGAAGCCCGAGGGGCAGACGCGCTGGGCCGAGAGAGTCCACAAGGCCGAGCACGTCCTGATCTGCGTGCACTCCGAGGCGCCCGCGCACTACACCTACCTCAAGGTCGGCGGTTGCTACAGTTGTCCCTACCTCAAGGTGCCTCCAGTTGTTAACTCCGTTTTGGGACGAATCTTGGAGGCACCCTGGGCAGGGGGCACTTGCAGCAGCGCCCGCCAATGTCTCGAGGATCGGCGGGGGCGTCGCGGTGGAGTACCGCGACGCCCCCCGTGGAGCACCGCGACGCCCTCAAGCAGCCGTCCGAAAACGCCAAGCAGACCTAAAGGACCACATGCGAACTCACACCTACACCCCACGATTTCTGAGGGGAGAGGTAGGTTTCACGTTGCTCGGGAACTGCCGAACGAAGTGAGCCCCACCCTCCTCCTCAGAAATCGAGGGTCGGGTGCGCGTGTGGTTTCCCAAGGCCGCCACAAGGATCATCCCGAGTTTCGGCGCCATCGGCCCTGGCGGGGCCTGCCCGTCGACGAGCAACGGTATGTTCCAGACCGACGTCTGGTCCTGCGGCCTGTGGACAAGTCGCTGCATCGAGCGCGCCCTGCGCGAGATCCGAGGCGAGGGCCGCCAAGCGCCCGTGAGCATCAGCACGATGCGCGCCCGAGGCAACGAGTGGATCAACGAGCTCACATAGGCCAGCGACAACGACTTGGCCAGGGCAAAGGCCAAGAGCAAGGCCCAGTCCAAGCCCTTGAAGGACCCCACGGCGGTCGAGCCGAAACACGCCACCTTCGAGGAGGCAAGCGCTGCCGCCAAGGCCTGCACCAAATGCCTACCGTGCAAGGACGGCTCCAGAGGATGCCGGGCCTGCATGGTTTGAGGTCGTGCGTAAAAGAGGTTTCTCGGCCAGGAACGCCAAGGACCTCTCTTGCGCAGGCAAGTTGTAGCCACGAGCCTCGAGATCTCCCGAGTCAGCCTTGCGCCAAGATCTACAAGGTCTGTCTCCACGAGCACCCAGGATCATCATCATCATCAGCAGCATCATCATCACCATCATCATAATCAACATCAGCATCAGCATCAGCATCGCCATGGCCATCCTGACATCACCTTAGCCAATGATTCTCCCCGCCAGACCCCCGAACTTTGTTATCTTCCGGGGATTATTATTATCATTATCATGGGTAGTCGGTTACCCACCATCCGCCTCCTCAAGTCTCTGGGGGCCTCCAGATGCCCATCGGGCCAAAGAGCATGGACCCTTCGACCCGATCCTCCTCCTCCTCCTCCTCCTCCTCCTCCTCCTCCTCCTCCTCCTCCTCCTCCTCCTCCTCCTCCTCCTCTCCTTCCTCGATCATACCTTCTTCCTCCTCCCTTCTCCCTGTCTTGCCCCCCGTTCGCGGCGCCCGGTGAAGCGCGCTGCGTCCACTGCTTCGCGGGCTTCCTGCTGGCCACCTCGGGGGAACAAGGGCCGACGGGCCGGACGAGCGGCAGGCGGCAGCGCGGCCTGCGCGAGAGGCCACGGGGAGGCGTCTGGACCATCTCGGCCTCTTCCCGGGCCCCCGAAACCTCTACGAGAGCACCTCAGCGACGAAAGTGTTGTCCCGCGCCCCCAGACAGCCGAGGCGACAGAGCTCCCTGTGCGTGCCCTCGGAAGCTGATGCACAGAATCAGCGAGGAGAGGAGAGGAGAGGAGAGAATGAGAAGGAGGAGGAGGCGGAGGAGGAAGAAAAGGACGACTGCTGCAAACCAAGGACCCACCAACAATTTTGCGATAAGCCCTCTCCTCAAGTTCCCTATCTATAAGGGTAGATGCTACACTTTCACTTAGGCAGGAGCGCGTTTCTCAGGCGCTTGCCTTGGGAACGTTCGGCGGCGAGTTTGATGCGGGGGGCGGCCCAACATTCGGCGCCCCCACGCCCCGACCCCCCCCCCCCTCTGGCGCTGGCCCCGGCGCGCCAGCGCCAGCGCCAGCGGCGGCGGCGGCGGCTGGCAACGACCGCGCCCGCGCCCACGCCCACGCCAACGCTCACACCCGCACCCACGCCCACACACACGCCCACGCCCACGCCCACGCCCATGCCGACGCTCACACGCACGCCCACGCCCACACCCGCGCCCACGCCCACACCCGCGCCCGCGCCCGCGCCCACGCCCACGCCCACGGCCACGGTCACGACCCCGGCCACGGCCACGGCCACGCTTGCGCCCGCGCCCACGCCCTCTTCAGCGCCGAGGCCCAGGCTCAGGCCCAGGCCCAGGCCCAGGCCCAGGCCCAAGTCCACGCCCACACCTACGCCCGCGCCCGCGCCCGCGCCAACGCCCACACCCACGCCGGGGCCCACGCCCAGGCCTGCGCTCGCGCCCACGCCCACGCCCACGCTCACACGCACGCCCACGCCCACACATGCGCCCAAGCCCAGGCCCAGGCCGACGCCAACGCCCTCGCCCACGCCCACGGTCGCACCCACCACGCCCACGCCCGCGCCCACGCCCACACCCACGCCCACGCCAACGCCCACGCGCACGCCCACAAATACACGCACGCCCACGCCCACACCCGCGCCGGCGCCCACGCCCACTCCCACACCCACGCCCACGCCCACGCCTACGCCCTCGCCCACGAGCACGCCCACGCCTTGATCACGCCCACGCCCACGCCCACACCCACGCCCACGCCCACACTCACTCAGGCGTCCATGTCCAGGCCCAGTCCAAGGCCCACGCCAGCGCTGGCGCAGCCGGGGGGGGGGGGAGGGTATCGGTTCGTCGGTTCGACCCCCCCCCCAGCTGGAGGGGGGGGGAGTTTCGAACTCCCCCCCCCTCTCCAAGCGCCCACAAATAGCGCTGTATCTCTCTCACTTGCGTCGTAAAACCTTGGGCCGGGCCGAAACACGTTGTCCCACACCTTCAATGCCGCGAATCAACATCATGGTTGCGTCCTGACAACCCCGACCACGAAAACCATTCCCGGAACTTCAACGCCGCGACTCAACGTGACTATTACGCCCTGAAAATCCTACATCGTGCTGTAAGGCCGTTCCTGGGATGCCATCCATAATAATCCGTGGTGCTGCTGCAAACGTTTGACGCGAATGTGCGCGGCACTAATACGAGAACCACATTGCGAGAAAGAAACGCCCTACATCCGTGAAACTGTTGTACACTGTGAAAACGAATGTTCGCGGGGATGAACGGAGACCCACATTTTGTCATCCGCGAAGTCCTTGCAAACTTTGAAGACGAATGTGCGGCGCTGAGGCGAGAACCACATGATGAAAACGGAACGCTTTTCTCAGTAAAGCTCTTGCGAACGTTTGCAACGCATGCGCACGGCGCTGAGGCGAAAACCACATTTTTAGAAGGGACCGCCCTCAATCCGTTCAACTGCTGCAAGTTTCAAACGTAAGAATCATCAGCGGTGAGGAAGCCTCAGGCGAAATGCCCAGCATGCCCCACCGACCCGTCTCAGGGTGCGAAAGGGAGGTGTTATTTGCAAGGAGAAGGAATGAAAGAGGAGGAGGAGGAGGAGGAAGGGACCATGCGGAGAATGTCGAGGCCACGCAATGGCACACACCAAATCCAAAAAGCCTATAACGGAACAGTGAGGTGACCTCGTCGCCGATGACTCGCGCTCACACGAGACGGCGCGGCGCGTAGAGTGCCGGGCCCCAATCCACGGCCAAGCCTGCCGAATCGCGTGACATGGGCAACTGGGCTTGCTAAGGAGGAGGAGGGGCAGGAGGAGGGAGGGGGAGGAGGAGGGGGAGAAGGAGGAGGAGGAGGGGGAGGAGGAGGTGGAGGAGGAGAAGGAGGAGAAAGCGTAGGATAACTAATAAGAAGGAGGGAGAAAGAAAGAGAGAGAGAGAGAGGTGTGAGTGAACACAGAGGAGACGAAAGGGAGAATAGCGAACAGAGGAAACATAGTGAAAAGAGGCGATGCAGCAGGATGCAAAGGCCACGTTAACGGCGACGTTGGTGAACGGTGATGCTGGGAATCTGGTTGTTGCGCAACCGGACGCGCGCAGAACAAATTGTGTGAAATCACGAACCACACGTTCCAACATTGCAAATACGCGAGTGTACCGAGCACAACGCAATTGTTAGTTGTAGGGCACCACGACCCACGCTTTCTACAATTGGTTTGGCCACGAACTCAACCCACATACAATACCGAAGCCTATATCGCAGATAGCGGTTCTACGGAGGATAGCGCAGGACGAATAGCACACATCGAGGAGGAAGCCGAGGACGGGGAGGAGGCAGGAGAGCCTAGAATCGAATCGGCAAGTCGGATCGGCGATTGAAGCGAGTCGGATCGGCAGCCGAGCCGGGAAACGTCGGATCGGCGGACATCGGCGAGCTAATATGCCTCCGGTCTGAACGCGGAGCCCAAATCGGAACCCCGAGCCGAATCGCATCGGACATCGAATCAAAATGAGCCCTCGGAGTCGTGGGAGGGGGGAGCGGGAGACGTAGTTCCTCCTGGGCTGGACAGTGTCGGTGCACAGGGAAGAGCTCGGCAGGCCCCTCGCCGCGCGACGGCAGCACACCTCTGCGGCAGCGGAGGATGGCAGCGGCGAGGACGGCGGCATCACGCTCAGCAGCGGGAGGCAAACAGGCAGCACGCCTCTGCACAGTCCAGTGTGCTCAAGATGTCCAGATCGTCGGACGTGACGAAGCCCTTCATTGCCTTGTCCAGCTCCACAAACAAGTCACTGGGGTTTCCGTTGTAATCGACAGCTCGGCAAAATACCGCCAGCTCCTCCAGGTCACGGGAAATGGCAGGGGGTGGAACTGCGCAGACGAAGTGGAAACTTGGAGGGAGAACGCACTCAAGAGAAGGTCAGGCGCAACAAAAACGCTAAGCAAGTCTGTACACGAACATAAGAACACAAGCGCAAACAAAAGTCTGAGCTTCCTGAAGGCCCCCAACGGCTCAACTACATCCAACAAACTCACTCATTATGTCTCTTGCTCCTCCTCCTCCTCGTCCTGACAGCGAGCGGCGCATCCCTCTGTTTCCGCGAGCAATCCCCACCATAATCTCGCTGGGCAACCCTTATCGGCGATAGCCATCCTGCCTCGAGGAAGAAGGTTAGAAACAAACACACCTGCGAACGTCACAGCACTCGCGGGGTGGAGAGGGCGAAGGCTGAGGAAGAATGGAAGGAGCAAAACGGACGAGAGATGAGGCGAGAGGGATGTAAGGGTAACGATCGGGGGACGGAGGAAGGGGGGGAGCAGCGAGGAGGGGGATGGGAAGGTGGGCAAGGTGCGAATTCCGATGCCCTTCCTTGCCTTCTGCCGCTCCGCTGCGATGCCCAAGCCAGTCTTAGCAGAAGGCCCTGTTTTGACACAGAAGATTGCAACAACTACTGTAAACGTGGAGCTCCCGCACTAGCGAGGTGCAAATTCGTCTGACAAGTTTTCAACTGCTTCAAAGATGGGTGGTCTTGTTCAGAATGTGGCTCTCATCTGAGCGCCGCGCACATTCGATTCACCATGTTGTAACAGCTGCAAGGATGGAGCGGGGCTCGTTTTAGCTCGGCGCACACTCGTCTCAAATAAAAGTCTGCAACAATTTCGGGGATGGAGGAGGAGGCCGCTCTTTGAATCCGCCACCGTGGCTTCAGCACGTAATGTAATGGCCCAGGGCTCATCCAGCTGTGCGTCGTACAGAGGGCTGTCGTCTTGCCGTCGGCTTGCAGGAGTCTAACTGGCTCGCCGATCCATCGATTCCCGAGCAGTGCAACGAATTTCTGGCGATCGCGCACCGTGTCGGCGTGCGCCCAGGCGAGCTCCAGGGAAGCCAGAGCGACTCCACGAGTACCCCACGACGGGCAAAAAGGCGCCATGAGGCTCCCACTCGCCATCGCTCGGACGTCCATTCCCTGTGTTTTTGTTTGGTTTCGTGCGTGGTTTTTGTTCGCCAAATGATCAAGGATGCTCCTCGATGGTCCTCGCCGAAGGAACAATGCACACGTCCGAGCGATGCCAGGCCCAAGACGGTCCAAGAGGCCCCTGGGTCGCCCGACGATCGCCCAAAGGCGCCCCGCATGGCCTCCAGACTGCCCCAAAAAGGCCCCCGAAGACGGCGCTCAAGAGGGCTGATCACTGATCTTCCTCAGGGTGGTAAAGGTTTGCAGCGTTCTCGCCTGCCCCATCGCCCCAGGACGCCCGAAAGGGGCCCCCAGAGGGGTCCCAGATGGCCTAAGGGGGGCCCAAGTCAGCCCAAGAGCTCCCCAAGCACCCTCCGCCTCAGGATGACCCCCGAGACCGCCAGCAGGCCCCAAGAGGCCCGCCAGCAGCCTCAGGAGGCCCCCAAGAAGTTCAACGGAGGCCGCCAAGGGACCCCCAAACCGCCCCCAAAGAGGCTTCCGAGCACTCGTGCAGGGACATATGAGACAGGGATTTGGGACGGGAGGGTGTACTGCACCCTCGTCAACGCATCCTGGGCTTCCTCAGGTCCTCCCCCCTCCTCCTCCTCCCTCCCGCCCGCCCGCCCTCCCGCCCTCCCTCCCTCCCTCCCTCCCTCCCTCCTCCTCCTCGTCGTCCCTCCTCCTCCTCCTCCTCCTCCTCCTCCTCGTCCTCCTCCTTTTCTTCCTCCTCGTCGTCCTCCTACTCCTCCTCCTCCTCCTCCTCTCCTCCGTTCCCCTACTGCAGGCCAAGGCGAGAGGTCAAAGCAGCCGCGCCGAGCCAACTCCTTCGGAGGCAGCGTGCCAGACCTGTCGCGGTCCATGCCGTACTGGAAGGCTTGCCCTGCTGCGGGGACGAGGAACAGATGCTTGCAGACCTCTTCCGGCCTTTAATGAGCCCCCTCTTCCTCCTTCCTCGTCCCCGAAACTCCTGGGCCCGTTTTCTCGGTCCTTTTCGGCCCCCGCCCCTCTGGCGGGAGCATGTGTCGGGGGGTGACCCCCCCCACGCGCCTCGGGCGCGCGCGCGTAGCTTCGGCCGCGCGGACGGCTGCGTCCAACTGGACATCGAGCCGATAGCGATAGCGATAGCGATAGATGCTTGCAGAGCGTGCGCATGGGAAAGAAGACGAAAAAGACTTACACCACGCGAAAGGGTTAAGAAATCATGGGTTAAGAAATTCATGGTCTCAGAACTTGAATAAAAAACCCACCATTTCTGTCACAATCTTAGGATTTACACTGAAACGTTAAGAATAATCGAGACTCTGGCCGAAAACTTAGGTTTTCTTAAGCATCGCCTAAGGTGTATACTTGTTGCATGTTCGTGGTCCTTTCCTGGCCTTCGGGGGCCTCCGCGTGGACCTCTGGAGAGCTCCAGGCACCTCTGGAGCTCGGCGGAGCTCCCTGACGACTCCGGCAAGCCTCCGGAACTCTCCAGGGTCCAGGGGTCGTCCCGATATTCCCCCGAGGATCTCAATTCTCTGGATGTCCTCCATCGGAGCCCTGGAAAGCGCGGGAGGCTTCCAAAGACCTCTGGGGGCGGCTGCGGGGCAGAGATCCCAGACATTCAGCGTCGTATCGTGTTCCAGCGTGCACGCCTGGGACCGCAGCAGGGAAAGCGACAGCGATAGGGGGCGAGGGCGACGTCGACGCTTTCGCTTCGTATGTTCTGGGCGTTTCCCCAAAAAACGATTGTCGTCAGGATGGACGCCAGAAGGGGTCTGGAAACCGATTTTGACATCGGGGAAAAACGCGCAAGCACAATTCATGGTCGATTCCCAAGAGAATCAGTGGAATTGTGGGAGTTGTGTGCATTTAGTTGTGTCCCTGGGCCCAGGGACAACGTGTCCTGAGGAAAGGGGCTCTGGACTTGTTTTGGTGTCTTCAGCCCCTCCGAGCCCTTGACGGGCCCAGGAGCGGTCAAGAGAGAACTCAAGCCAAAAAAACGACTCCGGGGAAAGCCCCGTGTCTAGGACACGTTTCCCCTGGGACCCCTTTTCCCAGATGCCGAAGGGGGTGAGAAACGGAGACAGATAGAGGGATGATGTAAGAGGGAGGAGTAGGGGGAGGACCAATGCAAACGCAACGCGCATCAACAATGTTTCAGTAAACCCTCCCTCCAAAGTCCGTCTTCAGGGGTCCTTTGCAAGACAACCGTCTGATCACCCTCAATCGTACCAAAACGCCGTTCCTGTTTTTCAACACCGCGAATCAAATTTACTGATGCGTCCTGGCGATCCTGACTCGTGCCACAGCACCGCTCCTTGGACTTCAGCACCGCGAATCAGCGTGACTGCTGCGCCCTGACAATCATAGACCGTGGAGGAGGAGGGGAGCAGGAGACGAAGGATGGAAGGAGGACGAGGAAGGAGAGCGGAGGGGGGAGTGGTAGGGGGACGAAGAATGACATACACTTAAAAACTCGGAGGTCCGCGCGGACCTCCGAGTTTTATGTATGCCATGTCTCTACCCCCTGAATGAGGAACACATGGGGAAGGGAGAGGAGGAGAGGAGGCAAGGAGGCCGAGAGGGAGGAGGTGGACTCGAATCCGCGCAAAGTCAGTCCTGCCTCCCCGCCGCGTGCCCCGCCGCACGCCGCGGACTTGGTCGCAC